GGTTTTTTAATACAATTGACCCCTGTGACCTTGAATATAATTGAAGGTCATTCATTTGAACAAACTTGGTAGCCCTTCACCCAAGCATGCTACTGGCCAAATATCATCTCCCTGGGCATTTTGGTTATTGAGAAGAAGATGTTTAAAGTTTTTGACATATTTGACCCCTGTGACCTTGAAAATAGGTGAAGGTCATTTATTTGAACAAACTTTGTAGCCCTTCATCCAAGTTTGCTTCTGGCCAAATATTGACACCCTAGGCCTTTCGGTTATTAAGAAGAAGTCGTTTAAAGTAAAATATTGACGCCGGACGACGGACGGAAGGACGGACGCCGCGCCACGGCATAAGCTCACTTGGCACTTCGTGCCAGGTGAGCTAAAAAAACTACGCAATTAAGAGATTTCCTTGACGAACACCGATAGTAGAAGTTATAGACAGAAAATAATATAAAAAGCTAAAGGACATGCATGCCAACACACCTCTGATACATAGGTACTCGGGTTCTGGAATATACATGTATGTGACATATTTAGGTATCGAACATCACTTTGATATCATAATAAATAATTGGGTTCTGGAATATATGTAACTTTATCTGTTTACGTATCGCAACCCACTAGATATCGCACCCCCTTACAGATCTAGACTACTAATATGATTTACTGGTAAAATTAAGCACGGACTTAATTAGATCTACTCTAATTCTGTGGTATAAGGGGGTGCGATATCTAGTAGGTTGCGATACGTAAACAGATAATCAATCTCAAATAACTTCAGAACTTTCGCATCATTCTCATCAATGTCCGACATATTTGTTACAACTCCGAGCGCCCTTTTGAAAGAGGGTCTCTGATTGGTCAAAATTTAATGATTCTTTATAAATATAAAGGTCACCTGAACCTGACCCTGACCCTGACCGCGGCACACTCAGGTTCCACACTCAGATGTTCAAGACTAGCAAATGTTTATTGTAAATTTAGAATTTGTAATGTAAAAATTCCTATTGAATGTGGTAGATGGAATAACATTCCAAGAGAAGATAGAAAATGTATGTTTTGTGACCTAAATGAAATTGGAGACGAATATCATTATTTATTTAACTGTAATGACCACCAGATAGTGCAAAACCAGGGACAGTCACTATACGTCCCTGGCAAAACAGAAGAAAATTTATGTCGAGATACTATTTTGAAAGTCCTAGTACTTTAAAGTTTAATACATTATTTAAATATGTCAATAATGAAGAACTAATTTCACTTATAAAATTCCTTAAGCACATAATTGAGCGAATTAACACTGGCCATTAACACCATGATTTATATGTAAACTGTACTATATATATATATGTATATAATTCTCTACACTGTAACCAGTTTGCGAGAATAAAAACTTGTCATTGTCATTGTTGTCATTGACACTCAGATGTTCAGTTAACGAAGCCATGTAACTTCAGGAACCCGAGCACCCGTATGGTCTGAGGACTACATCGCCTGTGGCTTTTTACCGATGGAAGAACAGATTACGTTAATTTGTTTAACAACGGCGGCTGATTAAAATTTCTGTTTTGGCTGGAGACATCATCTGCTTAACGAAGAGGAGAGCAGGAAATATAACTGACCCAAACTCATAAAGATTCAAGTTATTAAGAATTTATCGTAGAAAGAAATTTATTATGGAATCACCAGGGAATTTTTTCAACTTTGGGAATAAAATACAATTTTCAAAAACCAGATATATAATATTTGAAGACAATTACAATGAAAAATTAAAATCAGTCAAAAAATCAGTCAAAAATTTATTGAAAGATTGGTCTTTCCGAAATCTCTCATACATAGGAAGAGTAACTGTTATACAAACTCTAGCATTACCTATCCTTATCCAGACATTAACTGTTCTTCCAGACCCACCTTCATATATCATAATAGAAATGCAAAAATGTTTTTTCATTTTTTTTGTGGGACTGACAAAATCAAGAGAAATGTAATGTATAGCGATTATCATAATGGGGGACTACATCTCCCACATGTTTTAACTTTTTGTGCACTCAAGATGTCTTGGATTTTTTTTTATTAACCCCTCAAATCATGCAGCATGGAAAACACTATTATTAGACAAACTAGAGTGTTTTGGAGGCGACAAAATTTTCAAAATGACAAAAGACGGATTAACGTTATTAGTCAAAAAATGTAATACCTTTTGGATGGAAGTGTTTACCGCTTGGGCCTCTATGCATTAAAATGTGTCCCTCACAACCCCAGAGAAGGTGGTCTCGCAACCAATTTGGTATAATTATTTAATTAAAAGAGGCAATAATTGCATTCTTTATGAAAACTGGTGTAAAAAAGATGTATTTTTTATTTCTGATTTATTAGAAATAATCAATTCATGTCTCGTGATATGTTTTCTCAAAAGTATAATATAAATGTTAATTTTATAGATTACTATGGAGTTATTAATGCCATACCAAGAAATTGGAAAGACATTTTGCAGAATATAAATGGTGACATACCTTATATAACTTATAAATCAATAAACTATCTTAATACACATGATAAAGTTACCAATTATTTCTATCATATTCTTATCCAAGAAGATCTCCATAGTAATATTAGTGAAGAATCTTGGGAATCTTTTAACTCGATTCCAAGGGCCATAACTGATGACACAAAACTTATTAACTTTCAGTATAAAATCATACACAGGATCATCTATACCAACACAAAATTAATGAGATGCAAATTAGCTGCAACTGAAAGATGCACCTTTTGTACAAATGAGAGAGAAACTATTATGCAATTTTTTTGGGAATGCAGTATAACAAAACATTTTGGTTATGGCTGATAGATACGCTAGAAAATAAGTACCAAATCACCTTGCCCAGACACCCAACAACATTTATTTTTGGTGTAATAGAAAAAAGAACACGGAGACGAGATTAATGTTTTATTGCTCATTATGAGATACTATATATATTCATGTAAGTTAAAAAACCCAGCTCCTACCATTCTGGAAGGGAAAACATACCTTAAATTTTATAATAAAATAGAAGATATGGGTATGTAAGCCTATCACAACAAAAATCAAAAAAAAAAAAAAAATCAAATGCAAATGGATTTTTATCAATCATTTACTTACTTAACTCAGCTGACATTGTTAATATATTTTGGGTAAAGTCTTTAGAGCCATATATTCCTATCGGATAACTCCACGCCTAAATGTATTCAAAATAGAAATGATCTGTCTTACTTACAGATGTCATGGCACTCTGTACTTGTCTTAAAAAACCGTGAAATATTCGATGGAAATATAATCTAAATTAATATAAACTTTGTACATGCATGAGTAAACAGGTAGACTCATATATATATATATATATACCGATTCTGATT